TGTGACCAAAGTGCAGGACCCGGGACTTGGCTTTATTGAACCTCAGACAATTGGCCTCAGCCCATCGGTCTAGCCTGTGCAGATCCCTCTTCACAGCCTCCCTACCCTCAAGGAGATCAACACACCTGCTCAGTTTGGTGTCATCAGCAAACTTACTGAGGGAGCACTCAATCCCCTCATCCAGGGACAGGCCCCAAAACCGATCCCTGGGGAACACCACTGGTGACTGGCCGCCACCTGGACTTAACTCCATTCACCACGACTCTCTGGGCTTGGCCATCCAGCCAGTTTTTTATCCAGCAAAGAGTGTTCCTCTCTAAGCCATGAGCCACTAGCTTTTCTGGGAGAATGCTGTGGGACACAATGTCAAAGGCCTTGCTAAAGTCTAAGTAGATGACATCGACTAGGCAGGTCACCTGGTCATAGAAGGAAGGTCATTGAAGGTTAAAATGATACAGGCATCTTAAGTGAGTTAAGACTTCTTACATTCAAACTGCTTTTGATAATTTCTATTGATAGTACTTTTGCTGTGGAATTAGAGCACAGTAATTTGTCAGAAAACTTTTTTTTTAAATTCACTGATTTTTGTTATTCTGCCTTTTGCTGTCAATAAATACGTGTTAAAAGTGTATATTAGTGCTTTCAAAAAAGCGTTGTTGAAAAGAAATGCTATGCTTGTCCAGTCATGTTGCTTCTAAGTATAATTTATTAACAGACCACTGTTCTCTTTGCAGGGATCTCGTGCACAGACAAACAGCCAGTGCCGTGGTGCAACATATGTCTCTTGGTGTTTATGGGTTTGGCTGTGAAGATTCTCTTAATCATTTGTTAAATTACGTATGGCCTAATGTGTTTGAAACCTCTCCTCACGTCATCCAGGCAGTTATGGGGGCTCTGGAGGGCCTCAGGGTTGCGATTGGTCCTTGCAGAATGTTGCAGTATTGTTTACAGGTATGTCCTCGTGTATGCTGGGATAGCAGACACAGCAGTTATCAGGCAGGGCTTCTTTCCAGGAGACAAAAAAGTTGATGATTTCTAGCAAAGGAAAATGGTGTGGCTTTTTGTCTCTTTAAAGTAATCTTTAAACATGGCAGTCTGTACCAAGGACTTCAATAACTGAAGTATGCAATCAACAGAGATTTTGGTACAGTAAGATAGCTGATTACACTGAGGAACTTGGGTAGAAGTAGCAGGTAACTTAGACTATAGATTGGCTAAAATAACCTAGGCCTCTTGACTTGTAAAATGGAAGCATCTCATAATTTTGAGGACCCTAAATAACAACTGGGGAATAAATTAATAGTGCAAGGGGTTATGAGAACAAGTAACAAGTGAGATAAATAAACGAGAGGATAACCGAAATGTTAAATCAACATTATTTGTTGTTAGACAAGAAAAACAGTAAGACATTTAAAACTGTGTGAGAGTAAAGCACTAGAAAACAGTGCTTTGATCGCCATTACATCAACACTAGTTGGTTGAGCCTCTATAAATGTGTATGTGGTGGCAAAATCTGAAGGCTCCTTTTCTGTGTAGTTGCATGTAACAGTTCTCGCTGCGTTGGCTGTAGAATCTAAACTTACATAACAGGTGAGGAGCAAGGATGAGTGTAATTCAGATCAATGTAGAGAAAATGTGACTGCATTTTATTATTTTTTCATATAGAATTTCACTGTGTGGGTTTTTTTTAATGTGGGGAGCTTCTGCAAAAAGGTGCTGACATCAGTAGAAAGGTGAAGGAAGTCTCTTGCACAGTGAATTTTTTTTGCAAATAATACATGTATATTCTTACTACATGTAACTGTTTTTTCTAGAGCTTTCACATTCTGCTCATGTTTTTAGGTTTAATAATAGTTTATCTCGTGTATTCGTATCTACCACTCTGCACAAATCCCAGTTAGCAGAGCCAAAGATAAGACTCAGTTCCAACCAGTTATACTGCAGCAGATTTTAATTTTTATTTTTAAAGAATACAAAACTAGAAATACTTCAGTGGAATTCCTCTGTGCAGAAAAAATATAAGAGAATCTGTCTCTAAATAATACTTTGTTACTACTTGCTAGTTTAGGTAGTCACAAAACCCGGGAATGACACATCTAGTGTACCTTCTTTACTATAAGTGGTGTAAATTACTTAATTTAAAAAAAAAATGCTTATTGTGCAAAACTTGATTAAATTCAATAACAGACATTTTGACCTTAAGCTTTTAATAAATTTTGTTCTGTTCTTTGTTCTAGGGTTTGTTTCACCCTGCCAGGAAGGTCAGAGACGTTTATTGGAAGATTTATAATTCGATCTACATCGGATCGCAAGATGCTCTGATAGCACATTACCCAAGGATCTATAATGATGAAAAGAACACCTATATTCGTTATGAACTTGATTACATCTTATAATCTTCTTGTTCAGTTGTTTGTGTTTAATGCACAGCTGTTCTTCAATTAAATGCTTCAGATTTGTTGATGTAAAATTTTAAAATATTGGAGATCAGTATAGAGCTGGTCAGAGGCAGAGCTAGGAATCCAGTAGCATGATTTTTTAAATATGTCTTTGTTTTTTGATGTTAAACAGTTAAAGCCAGTAGTGACCAAGAAAACAGTGATTATAATGTACTGGAGGGATTTCATTTTGGATTCATCTTTATGAAGATTTAGATTTCATTCCTTGTGTTTAAAGGGGAGGTTTGAGAAATAAACATTTGTGTATAAAAACTAATTTGTGTGTGGTTTTTGGACAGAGGGACTTGTAAAACAAGTCTTTTGATGGATTAAGTATTTGTTCATGTAATAAATAGGTGGCATAAAACACTTTAACCCTTTTTGTCATCCCCTAGCTTTTGAATAAATAACAAAAACATAAAAACTGTAGTTAATGTGTGTATCTTTGTCATGCAATAATGTAGTTGTAGTCTGGCTTCTGGTTGCAGTAGTGGCAGTTTATTTTAATGGAAAAAGTAGTGTTTCATTGCTTGTTATTGCTTCATCCACAGTATCCTGGTTGTGGGGATGGATTAGCTTGTTAGGTTTATCAGAAGTTAAGCAGTTTATTGTAAATCATACGTGTAAAATCAGTTGTGCAAATTATGCATATTGATCCCATTTAGCATGTCTTTTAGCATGTATGGCTGTATAAAAAGCCAAATAATATTTATAGGCCATGCTATAGTTCTTATAAAGAGCTAGGAAAGTAATGTCCCCAGCACCTGACATGAGACAATTTCGAAGTATATGTATCACATAAGAAATGCTTCAGCTTGAGACAAGAAAAGCATTTTGTTTCCTCATTTGGTTTTTTCCTTCTGTGCATGTACTAAAAAAAACAGGTCTTGAGATCTGACAGTAAACCACATAAAACACAAGGTTAAATCATGCTGGTATTATTGTACATTACTGTGTTTATAAGATAACAAAAGGTAGTTAGCTATCAGGCATGTTGTTCTGAGAGTCCTTGATTCAAGTTGTGATTAAGTTTCATCTTGCCAAGTTTAATGCCAGTGTTGTTAGCTGACTTCTCTCTGCCATTTTACATAAATGTAAGATTCTTCAACTGTTCAGTGTACAAGAAAATGCCACCCTACGTTTCAAGGCCTAAGTTTTTGGTAGGGGCTCGGGATGGTGCAACAATGTGGGACCTTTTTGTTTATGAAGGTACTAGTTTGTTAAGAACGGAAAGAAGTGACTTTTTTTCAGCAGCGTGCTTTATTATGAAATTTGTTAGGTGAAAACAGCTGGAACTTCTTGACATCTTTATTGCTGAACTGTTCCATTGGAGAGTAAAGTATGCATTCTAGTCTATTTCTACTGCTTTCTCATTTAATAATATTGGTTGTATTACAGATGGCCTGCCATCTTCATTGCTTCAGTAGTTCTGCAAGATAGGACCAAGCAAGTGCCAATAGAGAGGGCAGAGGGCTGAAAAAAACCCCTGAGTTTTGAGAGGCTAGCCAAAAGAGAGCTCTGAAACAGGTAGGAATGGATGATAGCTTATGACTTCTAGATGCATCTTAGCAAAACATTTATTTTATAAGCAAGTAAAAATTTTCTAGTAAGACAGAGATGAGCCACTTCAGCTTTTTCTCATTTTTTGTATCTTTCAAGCTCATTACTTTAATTCTCAAAAGTCTTTTCATAAATCTTTTTGAGGGAGATGCAAATGGTTTTTCTTTCAGGAGAAGGAGGGAAAGGGGGAGGAGATCTGTTTGAAACAGAATTGTACATTGAACTGTGATGTTCACTTCTTGTATTTTTTGCTATCCGGAGTATCTGGTGTGAAACCGTGTTTGAAACACCAGTGTTGAAGCCCAATTGTTTATATGCAGTGTCACCAGGAGGCCTTTTTTTCCTTTCTGGGACTGTTGTAGATCTGTGGAACTCTCACCTAAAAAGACCGTCTCTGGGTCATACACTGTTTGATGTGACTTTCTAGGAGCCTGCAGCAGCCCTTTAAAGAATTTTGCCTATTTTGTTTAGCAACTGTACCAAGGTTTATTTAGCATGGGCAGATGAAGGGGGCTGTATCGGAGAATACTGACTTCCATTCTAGTTCTGCCCAAGGGCAAAAAAGTTTTGGGGAAGGAAGTAACTATCTAGATATGGTAGTTTACTAGATATACATCCGTTCCTCTATAGACAAATATGTTTCTTTTCCAGTGCAAATTAGTAATGAATGGGAAAGTTACTCTGAGGCTGTGGTTGGTGGTCACCTGCAGATTTCTGATTCTGGACAACAAAGGGCTGAGTGTTTAAATGAATGGAAAGATTGGGTCATGGCTATTTAAATTCCCTTAATGAATTAATTGTGCCATTAATACAGAAAAATAGACTAGGACAAGTGAGCAAAAGATCTACTTCTGTTCTGCTGCTTGTTTATAAAATGGGAGATGTGCCATGGCTTGGCAACTTTGAAGTTCAGCTTGCTACAGAGTTACTGTGTGCTGTTTGGCAAATCCGGGTACAAGCATAAAATCTGAATGTGCAGAGAGTCTCTCAACTTCCTTATTTAGGTTTCTTTGTAAAGGGAACCAAGTGTTCCTTCCCAGCTTCCCCTTCCCCCCATAGAAAAAAAAAGTTATGTGATTTTTGTATTTATTTTTTTAAAATCAGTTACAATGATGCATTTGAAAAGGGACAGTGAATTAAGAGAGCGTAAGCCATACTCTGGTAAGCAATATGCCTTGGGCTTTTCCTAGTTTAGAATATTTTGTTTTACAACTTAATGTGGTTCTTGATTGTAAGTGATTTTTGATGGAAAAAAGGATGCAACAGTTGTGTGTTACCTACATTTCCTTACAGTTGAAACTTCTCTGCCAAACTATGCTCCTTACAACCTGAGCTGATGGCATGAAAATTAGCCAAGGCTAGCAGTTATCCTTAAGGTAGGCTAATCTTAAAAGACTGGGAGAAAAATTTTGTGTGTTTTGCTTGAGCTACTTCCTGAGAAGAGCAAAAGATATCTGATGTTTCCTTGATGTTATGTTCACTTGTAGTTGGATTCTTTTGCTTCTATACCTCTGTCTCTTCTAATTTCACATGCATACACCCCCTTCACTCCTACTCTTCTGATTCAGTTGTACTCACTTGGCTTATACTTAATTTTTTCATGGCATCTATCTAAGCTGCGTCTCTCCCCTCTTGTTCTCTGCACTGAACCTGTACACTTAGCCCTGTGTCTGCATCAGTCTTCTTTTCCCCCCTGCACATGTTGGCACAGTAGCTTGTGGTGGCAATGAGGGCACTTGAAGAGATTCTCCCTGCCTCTCTTTGTTGCACTTGCAACTGTAGCAGTTCCTGGATGCATGAATAATCAGTCACTGTTGGAAAATTCTCACTGTGCTTCTGCCATTCAGCCTGGTGCATGCCAGCTGCAGGGGGGTCTTGAAGAACATAGCTGTCAGACTCAATTTAGTTTCGGGAAATACGAGGGAGTACGGTGTGCATGTAGATCTATACTGGCAAGCTTGATATCGGTCTTTGCCCAGCCTGAGCTACATGGGCAGCTCTTCTGCCAGGTAGAGTGGAGATGAAGCCTGTTGTTTAGTGGCTTTTTACATTAAATTTCTTAATCTTATAGTAGTGTCATTGTACGGTCAGGGTGTTCCTGTCAAGATGAGCAAACAGGATGCCAGCAAGCTACTGAAGTGCTAGATTTTCTGTGATATTGCTTTGGCCATGCCTCTGGAGGGAACATTGGAAAGGTTATTCCAAAGCACAGCAGAACTTCAAGCCCAAGTTCCTGTTTGAGGAAGAGTTGAGAAGTTTAAGTGTTTTCCTTATCAATTTTACATCCATGTGACTCACAGAGATTACATGGTACCAGTTTTTTTCTCAGTTACTTTTCACAAGTTTGTCTCTTCAGGCGACTTTATTAAACCTTTTGGTGCAATGACTGCTGTGAAATCAAGTTTCAGACAGCATTGCATCACACTGATTATTCTCCTACACATTTTTCTCCAAGCTAAGCAACATATTTTCCCTCTATTTAAAATGCTGTAATGAATACTCATTACTAATAGATTGGGGTGGGACAGGAAACAGCTTTCAAATTGGTGGTTCTTCACTAAATGTGGAAAGTGTTGATGTGTGAGTAAAGTGATCGCCTGTTATTTAATGCACATCTGTGAACCAACTGCAGAATCTTTTTTTTTGCCACTTGGTTAAAAAGGGAAGAGGTAAATGTGACTCTCTGTGATCCAGTGTATAAATCTGTCCATCAATGTGATACTGTATGCTGGAGAGCCTTGAGCCTCACCAGTAGTAGCTGAAAAAGATTGCTGCTGGTGCTGGCTTTCCCTCTGGCCCACGTGGTTTAAAGCGCAGCCTTTCCTGTGCTCTCTTCCCAGTTGTACCCCTTGAAACCATCGTGGGGCTTGTTAAGGCCTCTCAGAAGCCTGGTGAAGACATCCAGCGAACAGCCAGGTAAGGAGTGGCTCTTCCTTGTATAGTTATGTGCCATGACTCCTAATTCAAGCCCCAGACCAAATTGTTGTGGAAGTTAGGAATAAGTTGTTCTATGCAGGCAAAACAGCAAGAAATCTGTTATGAATTGTGAATAAATGAGGGAGTAAATTAATGGACTTGATCTGTTTATCTCAAGACTGTAGCTAATGGGTCTCAAAGTCAATTACTGTGTCTCCTCTTGATAGTGATCATAATTAGAGCTTCAGGTTTTCTGAAAGCTTGCTTTCTTGATGAAAAGAGATTTTTTTGTTTGTTTGTTCATTTGCTTAAGATCTTCAGGGTCTACATCCATTTGTTTATTCACTCTGAATCTCCTGTCCTTTCTCAATTAGGAGACAGTTTGGTCACCTCAATATCTAAATGTTCCTTTCCATTGATAGATAAGTAATTTTTTTTTCTTTTTTTTTTTTTTTTTGAATCATCATCTGCATGGAGCTGGCTATTAGCCAGCTGATTCTGATGAGCTGTATGAGTTATTTCCCCCTCTACCACATTTCCTCTGTTGGCTTGCATTTCTCACTGAAGAATGCCACCTTTCACTAGTCCTGGTGCTCTGTACCATGTTTTTGTGTTAAAACCATACATGATACAAGGCTTTTGAGTAGGCTAGCTGTCATTCATTACTGGCTGTTGATTGGGACCAGATGTGGTAGCTATTAACCACTGTAGGGTGACAAGGGTCTGAGGTGACTTATTTCCAGCCTTTTCTTATGTAACTTTAGAAATAGTGACCTTCAGTCCTTGCCTGTCATCCAAAACAGTAGAACAGAACAACAGTTCAAATATAATGATTTTTGCTTTGAAAGCCATACATTTTTGTCTCTGTTGAAGTCTTAAGTCTCCAAGGATCTGCTGATCTTGAGCCCAGCTGATAAAAGGAATGGAACTGGCCATTTATTATTTTAGCTAAT